CCTGTTTTTGTTTCTGCGACTGTCGCCGCCTGCGGAACGCGCGTCGCTTTTGAGTCGAAAAGATTGTCTGCTAAAGACGCGGGCATCCGAATGCAGCTCCGGAGTTCCCGGTTGGGCCGATAGGGGCGCCGCGTCGCTGGCTTCTCTCTTGTACGTCCATCCAAAGAGCAGATTCGTAGCTCTACCCAGCCGACTCCGACCAAACTGTTATGCTCATATTCGCCGCTATGATTTTCAGCGCAGGCGACGTGTATATGATCTTCGCTACCGAAAGCGAAGCACTCTGGGCTCTTCCGACCAATCAGTAAGAGCGAAGGGAAACGACCGTTTCTGTCTTTTTTGTTTTGTTTGCGCTCGCTCGTCACTCCAAGCATACTCCAAGCTTTCAAACCGTTATGCGCGTGCTAAAATCGAAAGTGCGGATTATACGGCAGTATTAGCAGTACGGTGCGACGCTGCTGCGCGCTTATAATAATTAGAGATGTATACGTCTCTAATTTGACAGAGATTCTGCCGAGTGTTTTGCGTGCCTCATGACGGCGTATTACGGAGTCTACAGCGCGGCGAAGTAACCTCGGAGTGCTCATTCTTCCGCTTTCCAACAGACGACAGGTGAACTTCTATTTCAATTTTTTTTTTTTTTTTTTTGTCAGCGTTCGAAACTCGACTTTTTCATCAGAGCATCGAAATGGATTGCGTATGCAAATCGCCAGGACTTTGGAAGCCTGCCCGGGCTGCCCGGCTTGCCGACGAGCAAGCTGCGCCAGCGTCGTTTGTGCAGCGAGCACTTCGGTGCTACCGTGTTTGCAAGTTGTGGGAAGATTCGTTTGTGGAAAAACGCGTGCCCCACCGTTCTTGTTACGAATCCGTTGCTGCAAGGACTTGCTCCTCTGGGTGAGTTGCTGTCAGAGCAATCTTCAGTTAATTTGACAGCTTCGTGTTTATATGTTAGGATAGAGTACCGATAAAGCACCCACAGTCAGAGATGTAGACACTCCAAAACAGTAGTTTCTTTCTTTCTTAATTGCATTGCCTATTGGCGAGTTTGTTTATGGTTTATTTATCGTTTATTCTTATGCAGCTCACCTGCAAGCCTTTTTCTTTATTTCGGTGTTGATTTGTTTGTTTGGGTGTTCAGAAGTTTAGTTTGTGGGAGTTGTTTATAGAGCATTTAGATAATTCGATGATAAGTGCTTTTCTCTTAGTTTGTACATTAAAGTAATTAATTTCGTTTTACATGTTTGACAACTTTACTGTGTTTACTGCCTACTACAGTTCTTGGTTCCCCTTTGAGGGCGGTGGACTGCCAACGGAGTTTGTAGATGCGTGTTTGAAGTACTGCAACTCATTTGAATGGGGTTCAATAAAAAAAATACATTTCAATGAACGTGCTGTTTCTGTTTGATTGCACTGGTAATATCACGTGAAGCGCAACTGTTGTGAAGTATATCGCGCGCGGATCGTCTGCTAGACCGGTGCCGTGCTGGCCGCTCACAGCGGCCGGCGCGGCACCAGCCTAACAAACAAACCAGAAAAAAAAAAAAAAGAACCGGGGGGGGGGGGGGGGGGGGGAAGGAGGACGGAGGGCGCACGCCAACGGCAGTGGTGGCGCCATCTGGCAGCCTTTCGAGACCAATTTTAATCTCCGACCATACGTATGTTCGCCTTTCTGCCACTAGCGCCTCGTGGCGCTAGTTTTTCCTTACCATGGTGGAGGCTACAGCTAGAGCACTATATAGCTCCTTCGGAGCAGAGTAGCGCAATCTAGAACGCCGTCTCTCGGCGACTAGCAGCGAACGCCCGGAGGTTCCAACTGCGGTCAGAAATGCATGGAGAACGTGAGAAAATCGTTGTTTCTTCAGTTTTGTGGGGATGTGCGGAATGGAAATCATTTTTGACATAATAATGAAACATTTTAGAATAATATGCGATAAGTTTTGTCCCATACAAGGACGTAACTTTTTTTAAAAAATTGCCTGAGCGGCATCATGCAGCAGACGACACGGCGACGTCACACCATTCACGTGACCCGCTCCGGCCAACCCGAAAAGCCCATCTCCGCTGCGAGCAAAAATCGTCTGCTTCAAACGCCATTGCCTTGGAAATTGCCTTCTCAAAATTTGCACACGCATCCGATATTATTAAAATTTTGATAAAGTGTTTAGTGCTTTACTAACTTCACGACAGACTAGTTTTGAAAAGTGTGAACTCGCCGTTCATTTTTTAATCAGCCGTGTTGTATCGATCTCCATGTATTCTCCCATAGGGCGGGCCGCCTCTTGGAACCCTGAGTACCACGTGACTCGCGCCGAGCCGCTCTGTCGGCCATCTTGTCGGCAAAACACGAGGTTCAAAGGATTGCGCTACTCTGCTCCGTAGGAGCTATATAGTGCTCTAGCTACAGCTGCACTCGGCTGACGCGGGCTCTCGGCGCCGTATGCTCGTTCGTTGGCGGCGTTCGTTGCGCCATCTCTTGTGTCCCGTGCGAAACGGCGCCGTGTTGTTTGAAGACCGGTGGCGTCGCTGAGTTTCCATAGGAGCTAAGCCTTTTTCTTTCTTTACTTTTTTCTCAGGTAAATTCGCTCTTTGCAAATTTTACAAAAAAAAAAAAAAATGCACCATCTGTGGGCAACGCTGCACAAAGTCGTAGCGCGATAGGTTAAGAAACCGAATTTTCCGGTCGATTTAAAGAGCCTACCGTCTCCTTGTTTCACCCAGTACAGTAGCGAAACCACGCGGAACTGCGTCGACGTTTTCGACGTTATGGAAATCGCAAGAGCTGTGTCCAAGACAGGCAGGTTTTACTGTCGGCTGCCTGGGTGCCTTCCGTGCTGAGTTCGGTTCTGTTTTCCGATGCCGAGTGCAACCGGCGTTCAACATGGTTCTGTATCTGTATTTGTGCGTGTCAACAACATAGCAGAAACATCGTGATGGCAGTGTTGTGGGTTGTGAACAGAAGACTGGAATTATCGCCGATGTGGCCGTGTGTTCCCGTGTCAGTGGTGTAACAACAAGATGAGATGACGGAAACTGTCGGGCATTGATACCGCTGGTCGGGCCGTGATCGGAGGGGGCGGGGCGTCCCAGGTTGACATTCCGCTTTACATTAAAAAGTTTAATATCACTTGAGGGATTAGGTGCAATCGACGACGTGCGGATAGTCATGTTGGAACGCTGGTCTGAACAGTAAGCTCGTATCGTATAGTGGTCAATGTGACTGTCGGTTGTCTCGTCCCCGAGAGCGATTGCACTCTGCATGGGGAAAGACTGAACAGTACGAAATCGTGACGGAAAGGACGTATATTTACAGTGTGGAATTTTAGCATTAAAAATAGTCGTGGGTAAAATAAAAAAAAATCTACACTTTATTTTGCTGTTTAAATATACTACGGTTCCTGGAAAAACTGCCCTCCAATTGGCGCGCTGGGATGAGCCCTAGAGGTTTTCGAGTTCGCCACGGCGTAGCTCCGTACGCTTTACACCTGCCGCAAGTCGCGGCTTTGACTGCATTCAAGTTGATCGAAAAACGATTTCTCAGCCCCTGAAGCATGACTTCCAGCTGAGTGAATATCCACTCTACAGAGATTAATTCAAAACTGCAATTGAAGTCGTGCGCGAACACAAATAGAAAAACAAACACTACAATAGAAATACAGGCTACGACGCGCCGTGCGGGGAAACAAATTCATGGCTTCGAACTGCACTGGAGCGGCTTGATTCATTGGCTTTCAAATAATTACGGCATGATCGAGCGTTTACCTTTTAATAAGAGGTTCATCCCCTGAGCCATTCCAAATACTCTCAGGGGTATGGTATTGCTGGAAAAAAGGCCGAAGTTGTTTGTTGCCTCGCCGGGTGGGCCCCGAAGGGATTAACAAAGCCTACCCCGGGCTTAGTTCAACAACTAGGATGCCCTTTTATAGCGATACCTGGCATGGGATCTTTCCACCACTAGAATTTACATTCGTTGTTGATATAGTAGTAGTTGTTGTTGACATTGTACATGGCGTATCAGGGCGTAGGCTGTCCGTCGTCGAGGTTTCCAAATCTTTGAAAAAGAACGTCCGCCTCCAGCGGGATTCGAACCTCGGTCCGCTGCGAGCGAAGCGGAGGCGTTCACACAGAGCCGGTTTTTGCAGTACCCGACGCCCACTTCACGCGTTGTCTGAAGAAAAAAAAAAAGAAAAAAAAAAAGCTGATAACGAAACGCCGTTGTTGCACTGTCGATGCCAAGAGCTCGGCCAGGGAGTCGCGCTTTCATGCGCTTTGAAACAAAAGCGTTCGGAAGAAATTGGTAAGATGTCTATTTCATTTGAACGCTTTTGTTGACGCACCCCACGTTGCGTGAACCCGACGCCGATTGTCCAACAACTTTGCCGAGACGTGTCGCAGCTACTGCTGGGACTGTACGGCGAATTAACACAGCGCTGCTAAATTTTTTTCCCGGACACGGGAAAGTCGCGCGCAGCCAGATGTAGGTGGGTAAACCCACATCGTTTGGAATCCGCGGTGAAGTCGCTTAGCAAACACCTACACATGGAGGTGCCACCTGCGGGGTTTTGCGCAGAGAAATGCTATGGAATTTAAAACGCCACAGAAAGCGGATTTTAGTTTCAGATCTGCGGGCCGTGCGTCACAAAGCACTCTACTCAAGGGCTATCAGTTTTGGGATAAACTGCTGCGTACTTGTGACTGGTGAACTAACAACGGTACATTAGAAAGGTAAATATTATTTTGAAAATAGCGCAGTACCAAGCGTCTCATGCAGTGAATTAAAACAGGATACGGCGGCTGTAGAAATAGGAAAAATGATCTTCCTCCGAGGAGTATAAATATAGACTCGTGAGTTGGCAAGCCTTTGAATAACAGACCTTTGACCTGACAAACAGGCATGGTTTCTAAATTGGTGGATGTCTTGTCATGCTTTCATCTTTTTGGTCTTCCTTTCAGATTAGAGTCGCTAAACATAATAACCGGAGGAACCCTAAGATATCAGAGGAATGTCGCTGAAAGCCCGCATCGAAGACGGCATTGTACATTCACCCTATCCCGGTGGTTCTGTACCAAAGATTTCAGTCTGTCAGGCCATAAAAGAAAGGCTGCTTCTACAAGGTGAACGGACTGCATTAGTAAGTATGCAGCATCAAGCGCAGTGCAGGAGCTGTTATGTTTACCTCTGTATGCATACCCCAGCAATCAATGATGGTGCACTCTCTTACGTGTGTTTGAAACCGAGCACATTACAACTTCTCGTGGTATTTTACGATGAGAGAACACCCTGGCGCCATCTATCGGGTAGCGGAGGAACACTTGAGATTACCTTGCACATTTCCTATTTTGTCGGGCATCATATACTCTTTTCAGGCTTGAAAACTTCACAATGTTATGAACGACCATTTCTATCGATAGTGGGCACATTTTATCTCGCAAATACTGCAAAACCTTAACTCTAGTGAAATGCAGTTACGAGGTCATATTTTGGATGATGGCGCCAGAGTGCCAATCTGTTCTCTCGTCCTGAGAGATCCCAAGGCTGCACAGCGCACTCGGTTGCAACTAAACTCACTGTGTAAACCAGCTTTGAGCCAGAAGCCTGCTGAGAAGGCTTGCGGTTGCCGTGATATACGTAATATATACTCGATCGTTATCACCATCATCTTGATTGTGTAACCAAGACGATAGAGGCAAGTTACGATGCTAGCATGATCCTGATTAAAGGGCTCAAAGGTGCAATAATTTTTCAACAAGTAATTTGTATTGCAATCGATAGGAAATGCCAAAAAAGGGATAGCTTTTGTAGAGGTGCTCGCATTTTTGCGCGCCGCCGAGACGGCTTTTTCTTTAAAGATTTCGTGTAACGTCCCGATACGTACTATCGCTATAGTTTTTCCACCACGGGCGGGGCTGTGCCTCTCCCGCGGCGCGTCATGGCCGGGGGTCTTCCTCTCACCCGGGGCAGGGGGCCTCCGACAACACAAATCTACGCGGGCGCTCGGGGCGCTGGAGTGCTGCTATCAACGACTGGCGCGCCTTTTCGAAAACTTGGCAACGTCTCGAGCTCGAACGACTTCGTCGAAAGCCTCGGTTCAGGTTCCAGTGGTTCGTGACGTTGGCTGGAGGGGCAACGGGCGCGGCAGGTGTGTACGCGCCGGCGTGGACCCAGCATCCTGGGGTTTTCCGCCGAAACGGTTTCCCCGGACGCCCAAATTTATCTGGCGCGCCTTCGTTGAGACTCCTACCCGCGCTCTCTGGTGATGGAACGTTTGCTGGTGAGGCACGTATCGGCGATTCTCGGCGAAATCGAGAATAAGTATATCTTCCCTAGAACATAAATATGTCGGGGGTTTAGACTCTCAACCACTGTGCCCGGTCTTAGTGCCCCCCTCGGCAACAGCAATGGCCTCTGGTTTAATTGTTTGAGAATGCTTCGGGGCCTGTACCCAACGGGGTTGGAACTAGACCCTTAATGGATGGGACAGGTTTCGGCGCACTGTCATAACCCCGACCGGACGAAAATTGGTCGAGTTTGAACGGGCCCCTGTGGCCCGTTAGTTCTCTCCCGCGGCTCGCCGCGTTACCTCTGTCGTGTGCGACAGCCCCTGCTCTGCGGCTTCGCCGCCGCCCTCACCGTGCGCGGGAGGCCACTTGACGCCAAGGCGTCCGTTTTTGTAACCGTCTAACTACGTAGGCCGTGCGCGGCCGTTAGTTGCAGTGTGTCATTTCATTTTCCGTAAGTGTTTTTTTTTTTTTTCAAGTAAATTTTTTTTATCAGTTGTATTCATTTCAACTTCGCCTCCGAGCCTATTGACTCTCCGCCGTCGGCCACAACAAGAAGAAGCAAGAAGTCTTCTTCAACTCCAACCCGCATTTGGACCATATCTTCCACGATCTCCTCTCTCGGTTCCTGACGGTAGCTAGGGTGCTCCATCGAGGTCCGGGAACAAAAACAACCTGATATCTACTGCTTCTTAAACGTTTTTATTGCTTGTGCTCATCCACAAAGAAACTGAAACGCAACGGTTCCTACGACATATAAAACGAGGGTTATCTTCTAATAATAAAAAATGCTTAGGTGAAAGAAACTGACCTTGTTGTAAAGAAGAAAACATCTCCAAAAGTTTTCAATATCACGGATTCATATCCTTCGAACAAGATAAAAATTGTTTCGGCAGCTGTTTTGATTTGTTGAGTGACGGCGAGTAAGAGACAGCACAATTCCGGTCGCCAAAATGTCCACGACAAATCATACTGAATTGTACGGTAGAATACAAATACCCATCTCTTCTCGTCAGCAGGACAATTCGCAAGTCCCTGGGCAACTTTCACGGAAGGTAGGAACTAAAAACTCGGATGCCATTCGAAGTAAACATGCATTTGCAGGGGTGGACATACTGGTAACTCCAAAGCCGCCAGAAATATACTCGTACATTCCCCTTCTGGGCACTTAACCTGCATCTAGAGTAGAGACTAGATTGTGAGACGCCACGCATGGCGTCCTGAGTCACAGTATTACACATGCTCATAACCGGCTTTTGGTAGTTCCAAAATAGGCTTCCTGCCATTACGGTTATGACAATTAAAAATAATAATTATTCAACCTTCTGCCGTTGTAGATCTACAAAGCAAATAAAGTAACGAGTTCAGAGATGCTGAAGATGCTTCATCAATACGCCGCCTGTTTCCAAAGCCACGGCGTAAAGCCAGGCGACAAAGTGCTCGTACATGTGGACGATTCGCTGGCAAGTTTCATTGCCATGTACGGAGTCGTGTTTGCTGGAGGAGTCGTCATACCATCTGAGCTGGCATCAGAACAAGGTACGCAGGTTCAATCAGCCTTTGCTAAGCTTTTTATTTACAAAGCATCGATACGTATACTGAATAAGGTCAGCGTGCATCGCTACTTTCCCAAAAAACATAAGTCTGATGTTGGTGCTGCTTAACCGAATGTCCCGCTCTTCCGCAAGCAGAAGACGACAATGACCCTTTCGCCGTTCGTTGTTTAAGATACGAAGACAACTCTCACCGAGGACGACGGCGGGTCACCCTCTTTCAAGGTGCAGTGGCGGACGGCGGGGTGTTGTATCACTGGGCCGCGTGTTAACCCAGCCGACCCCCCTCCTCCACGCCGCTTCGCGGCAACAGTCTGCGGCGCCACATTACAAGGCGACACTAGCGGTGCGGTTGAGCGATAGGTATTTGGCGATAAACAAGAAGCTCGCTGGGGGCACGAGTTAACTCACAATGTGACACGATGGGGCACAGCGCGTGATAAATATTTGGCGACAAACGAAAGGTGGCTTGTTGTGGGGAGATACAAAGCCCCAACACAATCTCTTCCCACGTAAATCTTTTCCACCTTGGGGACTTCCCCTAATGTAATTAATTATATTTAGCATTTACGTCTGGTCTGACCCTGGGAAATGCATAACATCCGTTTGCTCCCCTGACTGCTAGCTTCTGGTCAGCTCAGTTGCTGAGGGTTCCCCTCTCTTGAAGAAGTCCCGGGATGAAATCTCAGACCAGGCTGATCTCTTTTCAGCAGCTCACTCGCCTAGAGGGCGCGAGATGGGGCTTCATTTGCGGTGGAAGTCACCTTATTTTCACGCAAATTCTCTTAAAATTATTTAATTACTCCTTGAAAACACAACATTTTCTTCCATCACTGCCTATTCCCTTTTCTTCCTTTTTTTTTCTTCAAATTTCCGTGCTGCTGGAGTTCGTGTCATCAGGTCCTAACAATTCTAGGTATTGGGAGCGTGCTTGTTTATTGAAGATTTTACAATACAGGATTTCCTTGGAGCAGAGGCAAAAGGCGACAGCAAATATCGCCTGACTGGCCTCTAGCACCAGACTACACTCGCAACACAAGCAAAAACTACAACACAGCAACATAAATACAACACAAAACCTGCAAATACACTAGTATATACAAAACATGTAACGCATCAACACAATATGATATAGAAAAAACATTAAAGACACTAAAAGCCATTAAATGCAATTCAGTAAGATTTAAGAAATGCATCTTCGATTGATTCCTGAGGGTCTGTGGAGAGGAAGTGTGTTCCAATATATCAATTAGGGTAAATGTTCAGGAAGTTTGGAATTTGCCGATTCAATAGTTGTGTGCCGCAGTTAGTTCTGGTTCTAGTTTTTTTACAAAAATGTCTGTGTCTAAGATTGTCATGCGAATAAGAGCTTGTATATATATGCGACACCTATACTCAGTTCACCCCTATGCTGAGACCGCAGTGGAGGCTACGTCCTCGTTGGACCAGTCATACGCCTCTCTTTCGCCACGTCATCGCGCTCCCGGCCATACCCACGCGCGAATAGCCGGGTCAGGTGATAAGAGGGAGGCGGCTCATTGGTCCGGCGGCAACGTAGCTCCGACCGTAGTCTAGCATAAGGGTCAACGGAGTATATAAGGCTCGCGCCGGCCTAGCTTCACATAAAGTTCCTACATAGGCTCCCGGTAGGGAAATTGGGAGCCAAAGTAGCGCGTCTGTTTTCCACGTGCCGCCGCGCCGCAATAAGTTGCATTTGACCACGTTACAAACAAAAATCCAGTGCTGTGCAGGAAACCCTCCGCTACGGCCGCTCCGCAGCTACGATAGCCATTGGCCGCTAACTAGCCACTAGCAAACTGTGCTCATGTTCTTTGCTTTTGAATGAGGCCGTTTATCATCAAGTTCTCTGATGTTCGTGTTCGTAATTCAAAAATATATACAATAAACACTCAAGAGCACATCTGCTTCCAGCGCCTGATTTAGCTAGCGTACGAACACAATCACGCGAAAACAATGTCCCCATAAAAAAGCACTCACAACCTGGTTCGCTTTCACTTCCGCTGGCATTAGAGCATAGAATCATGGTATCCAAGCTAATTTATTACATAAACTATTTTTAATGCGTTAGCATCAGGACGCTCGTTTTGGCGGAAACCCTGCAGCGTCTTTCATTTGTCAGTCCTCGCGTGCGACGCTTCCATTAGTCCGTAGCGCTGACGTGAGCACGCGTGAAACCCCGGCACTGACAAACAGACAGACATCGCCAGGGTCTCGTCAAAACGAGTCCTTTCGTATTCGGCAAAGTCTCGCGCACAGTTGCCACGTTGCCAGAGATGAAACGGTGCCGCGCAACACCTAGATAACCAAGCCGACGTGCTGAGTAAGATAGCTTAATCAGAAAAGGCCAACGATGGACACAAATTGGGAATGAGTGCTGCGTCAAGACTCGGCTTCGAATCAAGTATGAGCCGAACGTTGACGGAATCGTCGTGTCCAATCTGTGTCCAGCGTTTGCCTTCTCTGATGACGACATATCATTCAGCACAACGCTTTGTTGTCTAGAAGGTGTTGCGACGCGACGCGATGGAATGCGGGCGTGCTTAGTTGCCGCCATGCTGTCGTCGGTTTTCCGTCGCTCTGGGTTTCCGTAGAAGCAATGAGTAAGCTGTGCTCTGTTCGTGCACTTACAACGATGGTTTCAGTTCACTCCACGAGTGATATGGATCTGGTTCTTCCATGAGTGGTATGGGTGTGGTTCTTTCCGCGACGGATATAGATGACCGTATCCATGGGCGTCGACGCATTCTCGCAGACAGAGTACAAAAGAATGTTGAAAAAAAAATACAGGAAGATATATTGGTGAATTCTTGGGAGATCCGTTAGCATGACCCTTGGGAAACGCCACACACGTTCGTGCTTGTGTAACGCTAACACTGACCCCGTAACGAGGTCAAAGAGATGCAGCAAAAAAATAAAGGAAGTGAAAACGAAAGCTAAAAGTGTTTGAAGTTTTCAAGGGTCATGCTAACGCCTTTCCGAAGAATTCACCAATGGATCTTCATGTATTTGTTTTCTTTCGGCTGGTGGAAAAACTTGTTACGAAGTGTTCATAAATTCGCTGATACTTCAAAAAATAAAAATAAATAAACTAAACAACCAGAGGTCTTTATGTACAGAATTTAGGCACTCAACTTTTTTTTTTTAAGCAGACGACTAGTAACACGTTTACATATATCCGATTAACAAACCTTTGTAAATGCCAAACGGCACATTAGTTAGCATTCAACGTACACTGGGGCACCAATGTCACAACACCGACATTTGTGTGCATAGTGTAATAAAAAGTTTCTGATAATTGGTTAGCGTCGGCAGCCCAAAACAATACGCGGGCACTTTTTCATGAAACTGAATTCGTCGAGAAAAAGTTACTTGAAAGTTTCTTTGCATGCCGTGTCGCCTGGCGCCTGTGGTTTCTTTGCATGCCGTGTCGCCCGTGGTTTCGCCTGGCGGCGAAACCACGGGCCTGAAGTTAGGTGGAGCTACACGCTTCAAACTTCAGTGCGCTATTTTGGAATTGTTCTTCAGTGACAGAGATGGGAAAATTACCTTTGAAAAGTAATTAAATTACATTACAAATTATTTTCTGAAACGGCAAAAATGTAATTAAATTATATTACAAATCCCCGCAGACTAAAAGTAATGACCTCCCATTACAATTACTTTCCAAAAGTAATGAAATTACTCTGACATAACTTTTCAATACCTTGAGGCAGCAATCCTGCTAATTTCGTTTACAGTATACCTACCAAAACACAGATCTTCTTGTTTACACCGCAACAGCCTGATGCGCCTCAAGTGTACATACTGAAAAGTCGTCTTTCTGGCGCACACGACCTAAGTGTTAAACATGATAAATAGCTTCTTCTTTAGATGCAACTCAAAAAGAGTCGACTCACTGGTTTCGCTGATCATTCAACGTTGAAAGTCCTTAGTAAAAAGGTGATATGTTTTTGTCTTCCTGATTTAGAAGGTTATAATCCCTGCTAGTCTGTTAAGTCGGGACATGGGAGCTCGTTCTTACAAGGATTCGTCACGTTAAACATTTCCCTTCGGACTCGGACGCAATCTAATCATATTTTCCCAAGTGCACTAGCTGACGTATTCCGATCATTCCTCTCGAAGAGTATTGCTCCCAAACAACCTAAGAGCCCAGGTTATAGCGCGTTGTTACAAAAAGGGGCTGGATATTTTTTAGGCAGAAGCGTCTCCAGGTGAGGAAAGGGATGGCGCAAGCTTCCTAAAATGTGTACTTTCCCAACGAGCGTGTGGAAATAATGAAGACTTTTAGGGAACCCTTTTTGCGCACACCGGTACGGTACGATAAGCCCTCCGATATAAACTACGCATGCGCTATCGCAGACGTCTCCAATATGCGCAGTGCATACCGGAGTGCCCATCGTGTCGTATCAGGTGCTCAATAACGGTTCCCTAAAACTGTCTCTTTGCCCGTTGGCTTATTCCTGCATAAACTTCCGAAGGAAAGGCAGCGAGGCGTACCGCGAGCGGCACTTGCTTTGCTCCATTCCTATCTATCGTGACTACAAAAATCGGGTTTACTTAACAAGGTCAAGGCTATGCTCGAAACGTTCTGGGGTCCTGACAAGGTATTTGGGATGCACTATTTACGCCGGTCGTTTGTTGTTCACAATGGTCAAACCTTACGGTTTGCCCTTGCTTGACGAAAGAGAGAAGGCAGAAGATCTTTTTGTACTGTACTTTCAGGTTTTAAAATGTGGTGACTTCACTGGTGATGTGCCCTTCGCCTTGTTGCATATAAGCGTTCATCCCTAAGCTGCCACTGCGGTGGAAGCTACATGCTCCTTGGAACAGTAACACGCCTATGTTTTGCCACGTAACCACGCTCTACTTCCCACACGCACAGAAAGGGGCGGGTAAGGTGATCAAGGGAAGGTGGTTAATTGGTTCCGGTGAGCTCGTAGCTCCCACCGCACTGTCAGCTCAGGGATGAATGAAGTATAGTATCGTCCTGATGGCGTGACGTCATGAATCTTTCTTGTCTGGAGTTCATGGGCAGTGGCCTTTCAGCGATGTCTTTATACGTAAGCTTTTCTCCGCTTTTCGAATCCGCCTTTGTGTGTCTGTCGAGTCGAGTTCTTCGTACGAGGTCTCGCGGTCAGATGGCCATCGTTTATTTGCTCTGTCTTTTTCTCGACAATTCACTATTCAAATCACTTTTTTTCTATTTTTTTAAAGCTCGCGTTAACGGTATTTTTAATTTAGGACAAAGTAATTTCAAATGTAGTGATTAATTTTCTTGAGATTACTGCCTGAAAGTAAGTCATAATATTACTAGGTTACCAGCGTAAAAAAAAAGTAAATCATTAGATTACTCATCATCACAGAGTAATTTAATTACTGTAATTTCATTTCAGTAATGTCATTACTGCCCCATCTGTTCAGTAACCACAAGGCGCTGTTAGTTCGTGTTCAATAGCATTGCATAAGACGTTCAGGCAGCCACACCAACGACAGGAACGGTTCATGCATATACATGCAGTTTTGTCGTTTCTTCGATTTCAAATTCGGCGGCGCGATTTTCGAAGTGTACTTCAATAACCCCAAGGCAGTCCTAGTTTGTGTCCAGTAAGGTTGTTAACATGTTCACGAAATTCTCTCTAGTTAATACACCCATTGGTTCCAAAAAGCCACGGATTTTTCGTCCGTTGTGTTACTCGGTTTAACACGGAACGGCCTATGCTGGCTCCATGGTGCGCGCTTGCACTCTTACCGCTCATTCAGCCCATCTGCTCCGAAATGACACCATTGCGGCCCCAACGTCACACCGCAGCTGTTGCAGTGCTTCACCTTACGGGTAGCGTAAAAGTTCTACATGCTTAATTAGAGAGTTAAACAAGGTATTTGTACCTATTTTGCTTTAATTCCTTTGGTCATTACCTCCTTCGCGTGCCAATTTTGATTTAGTCCCAGAGCAAGCGTGTAATACCAGGCCTCCGGCGGTGTTTGCCTTTTTCATACGCAACTGTTACATTTTAAAGTAGTTTGAGGAGAGTACTTAGATCTAATTAACCGAGTGCAGTCTTCACGTTTGAAATTGGTTTGCGTAAAAAAAGAAGAAATCTTTGGCATTTTTCAAAACTCTCACAGGCGAACTGCTGATGAAAATAAAGGAAGGAAAGGCCAGTCACGTGCTCACCACACCCAACGAAGCCGACCTGCTGAAAGAGTTAACTCAAGACACGGATATTCGGGTAAGTATACGTATATTAATACTGTAATATCACGATAGATGTCCCACCCCCGAAAGATGAAAGAAAACCCACGCCTAGTCATCGTAGAGTTCGGATCAATGATGGCGTCGGCGTTAATGCGGCTAGGTAGCTATGACAAGTTATAAGCGAACATTGCTGACTGGAAAATAGAGTCGTCGTTGCTTTATTGTCCCTCACCGCGATAACATGTTTGGCAGGAAAACATATTCTAAGCAAATAGCGTTTTTTTTTCTCCAACTTTTCTTGTTTGTACATTAAGAGTTCACCCACTCCATATTTTCACCCTACACACTAAACATCATTACACCCTTCAAGGCCTAAATGACTTGTACTGTAACTAACACCCTCTTTGGTGTAGCAAAACGACCTTAAAGGAAGGCGCTATTCCGAACACCCTTAAATTAAGGTTACACCTCTTTATTATGGTGTGATGACTGCGCAGCAGGCCCTCTAAGTTGGGTGTACCACCGCCAGAAAGAGAAGTAAAAAAGGCGCAATGACGAACACCCATAAGATAGGGTGTAATAACCCAAAAGACTGCACGAAGAAATAACTGCGAATGAGTCAAAACATGCCTGGTTCACCTTTTATTTTTCGATCAAGATTCTACTAGGTTCTACTAAATTCTTTATAGACGACTGCCAAGACTGAAAGAAATAGTTCCCTTTGATCCTCGCAATTTCACCACAACCATGACGCTTCTGAGTCAGTGCGAGTATTCTTAGGCTAGACTAGGACCAGTACGCCTCTGTAAGGTCCTGAACATTTCAACTGGATATTGTTTTACGGCCCCTTTAAATTGTACAACCGAAGACCCTATTTAAATCTCCAACTTTAATTTTCGTGCAGCATTTATTCTTTCTGGAACTGGTGACGTAACCAAAACTCGGCAGGCTTTCCAAGACGGAACGAGCGGGAGTTGCTTGGGACGTAAGCGACATTTCATGTTTGTAAACAGCAAAATGGTTTATTGAGACGGAAACAGGACGACTATCAGAGGCACGCTTGCAGAGTACTTACCAATAAGAGAGCGATATCAAGTAATCCGTGATAGATGCATAATTCGATTCGGGCAGCACAGAACAATCCGCCAACATAATGTCGAGGATGAAGGCGGTCGCTTACATTCAACGGAAGTCTCGCACTCACCGATGAGCAGTTCTCTGTCGTGATAGATGCATAACCCGATTCGGGCAGCACAAAACAACACAAACACAATGCCGAGGATGAAGGCGGTCGATCACTATCAACGGAAGTCTCGCGGCCGCCAATGAGCAGCTCTTTGTCGAAACGCGTACAACAAACACAGCACAATAATTCTATAGATCTGACAAAATAAACGGCCATTACTAGAAAGTTGGCATGGCTGTATTCCGGCCGTTCACGGCGAAAAGCTACCGCCGCCTGGACGAGAAACCACAGTCGCAAAATGGGACTCGTCAGGACCTGCTTGCACGAAAAACAGGAGAACACTGACGAGCGCTTTTTGGAAACGGGACCTACGTGGTCCCTACAACTCACGATAACTTGGCAAACGGCAGTTTAAAGCGAGAAAACGGCACCTAGTTTCCCCGATCCTAAAGGTTCCATTGGCTGGCGCGCGTCGCCGGGGCTCCCATTGGCCGCTGCGCTCGTCAGTTTCCACGACCGCTCACCCCATAGCACAGCGTGTCCATCAGCGCGCCGTTAACACGGAGTGTCCAAGGTCAGCGTGCCCGGGGGAGCACGCGCGCTGACCGGCGACGAAAAGTACGCAGCAGACGAAAAAGGGAGCGGACCAGCGGCTTGCTTGCTTTCGCATTCACAACTCATACGAAGTGCTTAGGTGTACCTCGAGCTTTTTTGTCCTGCGGAGAGCGGTCACGTGTTTCGCTCCACCCCTCTATTTCGCTAAAAGTGGCCTTCGCACTCCCACACAGCCACACGAAGACACAAGAGAAGGTGTGGAGGCTCATCAGAAGACGAGATCAGAGGGGGTTGGACAAAGCAGCTAATCTCCCTCAGCAGCTTTGTATGACCACCTGCACTGCCCAGGGAGGGTCGCGAGAAAATCGTGTCTGCTCTGGTGCGGACCGCGAGATCACAAGATAAATACAAAAACAAATTCGAACGCCGTCAAAGCATGGGTCAAAGCTAAGACGCTGAGAGCATGAAACAAGAGACGAGGTTTCACGGGTTCAAAAGAAAATCCTAAAAAAAAGAAAGCGTCGGGGCGCAGGATATTTTGGTGTCTAAACGCAGAGATATGGATCGCGTACCCTAACGGGAATGTGATGACTCCGGCACTTGCGGTTGCCTTGCGGCGTTGTTTTTTCAAAACTACACAGAAAGATAAAATCTCAATGAAGGTGCTATAAGTAGTGCAAGGTCCAGTCACGTGAGCTTGTACTACCCGAAATGAGGGCACCACAGTTTGTACAAAGCTTCGGAGCAGGAGGTCTTTCTCGGGCTAAAAGAAAGCAGATTCCGTTTTGTTTAGTCTTGTTTTGTTTTTCTTTTTTAGCTTTCTTAATTTTGGAGGTCAAGAATTTGAAATGCCTCGCAGGCATAGGCGATTCACGCAGGACACTATTGACACTCAATCAAAAACGACGTCGCATACGGTATCTTGGGATGGTGTTGGCGGGACCCATCCCATTCGTGATCTATTCGCTGGACCAAAATGGTATGAGCACGATCTTTCTGATTAGTTCAAACATCAGCGCAATACGGTGTGCTGCCTGGGCTGTATATTTAAACGTCTTCGTTAACCTTTTGCGAGCGGAGATGGTTTATCAAGTCGAAGTTAGACTGATAAAACGCGAAAATTACACGTGACACGTCATTTTCGGCTCGGGTCGGACGGAGAGTTCGATCCGAGTTGCAAAAATTGTTCTCTAGACCTTTCTAATCATACGCACCTGCGTGTGGCGGTTAATTATACTCGTTGTTTGTACCACCGTACATCAGCAACAGTTTCACCGAGGAAATAAACATGAACGCCTATGAGATCAGGGGGGTATACTGCAGCATCAACATTACGCCCCCTTTACACCGCGTGAATGAAGGGCGTAAAATCTGCCTATACAACCTTTTTTACTCAATTTCAGACACCATATCTACAAGTGGGGCACAAAAAGGGCGTGTAGGGGGTGAAAGACGCCAGCACACCAGTCAACTTTCCGAGGGAGGGCCTGGACCTGGTGGTGTAGGGATGGGCGCGTCCTGGTCCGGATGGTGACGACCGATGACGGTGCTCGCCCGCGATGACAGCCCCCGGGAAGTTGATAATAAAAAAAGAAATACTAAAAGTTGTTCGATCCCGCTGAACACATTGCGACGTTGGTTGGCTTTACGGTGGCCAGTGTGGCCACGCTTATTATGAAACAAAACAACTCAACAGTGAGTAAAAAAATCCCAAAATTAAAACCCCATACTTTAGTCCCCAGTCTCAAGAGCCGAATTCCCCGAGAACCCTCTCGGCAGTCCTTTTCTAACCTCGTAAATGCCTCCTTTCCCTCCAGAGATGGACCAATCACTTCAAATTTCACCACTCCCACGTGGTACACTGTCGTCCAATGGTCGGCGAGCTGTCATCCTGTCGCTGTAACCGCCAAACCTAAATTCCTTGTAGGGTTGTTCTCTGCAATTTTTCCAGTCTGACTGGCGCCAACCGCTAAGTTATTGCATCGGGCAAAAAGCGACAATTTTACACTAAGCGGCGAAGCCCTCTATATACAGGCGCATTCGGCTAAAAGCCACAACCAGCTGCAAGAAGGGATCTGTCCGAGCAGACTACCGAAACCCGAGACGTTTCTTAACGACCGCGGGGAAGCCGCTCCCCAATCCCGGCCGCTCTGCCCCCGCAAATGCTCCCTCCAAAACGCCGACCCTCACAAAGAAAGCTAAAAAAAAAAATAAAACGATGCCGACGCAATTGTAGAAAGATAGACTTTTCTAAAACAAATCTTACTTATTTGTAACAAAATCCTTCGTTACTTAACACCTCCCCACCAAGAATGTTGCAAGTACACTTGCTGTTCGCGCAACATCTGTCCCCCTTTTCGAGACAGACGCGTAGCATACGAAAACAAAACAACAACAGAGGAGCTATACCCCCTGACAAAAAAAAATAATCTGTTGGGCGACAGGGAAAATTAACAACACAAAAAAAAAACACAAGCAAACACAGTCCGGTGAGACCCAAACCCGTACGTTCCATATTCCACCATGACCAGTATTTACCTAAAGGAAACCGTAGACGCAGGCAGCCAATTCGGGACCGCTAACCGAAAAACAAAAATCCACAATACCTTTACAACACTGAAAAGTCAGAATTCGCCGTACTCAATGCGGTCGAGCCTCGACAAGGCATCTGCGCAAGTATTCAGAGACCCTTTGATGTGGGATATTTCAACATCGTATTTCTGTAACTCCAGAGTCCACTTCGTCAGACGAGCACTCGAGGGGGCCGAGTAAGTCAAATAGGTTAGCGGGTTATGATCTGTCCTCACCTTTACCTTTGAACCGAACAGCCACGTGTCCAAACGTCCCAATGCCCACACCACAGCGAACGCTTCTCTCTCGACAGCTGACCATTTCGACTGAGCGGCAGTAAGCTTCTTGCTCAAAAACGCTATTGGTTTCTCCCCTTCCTGCGACTCCTGGGAGAGACATGCCCCCACGGCGTGTTCGGATGCGTCGGTCGTGAGGATAAACTCCTTGCTCATGTCCGGGGCGGCCAGAGTCGGCACAGTAGCCAGCGTTTCCTTTACCGAGTTAAACGCCCGTTCTGCTTCTGTGCTCCACGGTATCGTGTTGGGAACCCCGCGGTTCGTGAGGTCAGTCAATGGGCGCACTACTTCCGAATATCCTGGAACGTATTCTCGATAATAGTTGAATAAGCCCAGGACACTTCTTAGTTCCCTCTTTGCCTTAGGCGCCTTGAGTGCTGCAATGGCGCTCATCCTCTCCGGGTCTGGAGCATGTGACGATGACCC